TTTTTTAAAATTATTGAACAATCATACGGTTAATGTTGAATATCTCAACTGTTTGCCAGGAGTTGTACATGTAAGCTAACTCATGGTCAACCCCATTCGTTTTGTTGCCTCCTCCCATTCCATGTTCAAAAGCAGATTGGAGTGACAGATTAATCTTTCTTCAACATGGATGATAGGACAGCATCTTCTTCCATACCTGAAGGCAGCATGCTAGCTTGGAGGGTGGAGAGCAGGTCTTATGATGATACACAGCTCCCACACCAACATCTTGTTAATTGCTTGGACTACCAGATCTCAGGGTCTGGTCCTTCTCCGGTGTTCAGGATGAGGAGGATGAATCTCAGGCCAAAAGTACATACTGCTTTGAAAATGTATGTAGAGGTTGAGTCTCCTTTATCTGGATTTCCAAAATCCAAAATACTCCAACATTGTCCACATGGGTGGCTGAAATAGTGACATCTTTGCTTTCTGGTGGTTCAATGTACACAAACTTTGTTTCATGCACAAAATTATTAAAATATTATGTATAAAATTACCTTCACGCTATGTGTATAAGGTATGTTGTTGTTGTTGTTGTTGTTGTTGTTGTTGTTGTATCCCTTCAAGTTGTTTCTGACATAAGATGCCCCTAAGGTGAACCTATCACAGGGTTTTCTGGGGCTGAGAGTGTGTGACTTACCCAGGGTCATCCAGTGGGTTAACATGGCCAAGCGGGGAATCAAATTCTGATATCCAGGGTCCCAGTTCTATGCTCAACTACTACACAATGCTGGTTTGTATAGGATGTATATGAAAAATAATGAATTTCATGGTTAGATTTGGGTCCCCCCCCCTCCAGGATAGCTCATTATGTATATGCAAATACTCCAAAATCCAAAAAAACTCCAAAATCCAAAACACTACTGATTCCATGCATTTTGGATCACGGAAACTCAACTTAATTGAGTGTCTGTCTGTCTGTCTGTCTGCCTATCTTCTTCATTCACTAGCCTTGGTATTTTTTATTTGAATGGCATACTCTGTGCGACTGTGGTTGATGCTTAATATAACATTGTTATTCTGTGCCTTCAAGTCATTTCCAACCTATGGCAACTCATGGTGACATAGGGAAGAATTTGTTCAGAGGAAGGTTGCCCTTGCCATCCTCTGAGACTGAGAGAGGATGACTTGACTTGTCTAACGTCACCCAATGGATTTCCATGACTGAGTGAGGATTTCAACCCTGGACTCCACAGTCGTAGTCCAATGATGAAACCACTATACCCATGATGGCGAACCTGTGGCACATGTGTGAGGGATGGCACCTGAAGCCATTTTCCCCGGCACGCAGAGGGCAGGGAGGAGGAAGAAGAGGCACACGCCTGTTCCTCCTCCTTCCCGGCCGTCCACAGCCTTCAGCTTCTTCCCTGGAAGGCCTTTTAGTTTGGGTACTCGGCCCCTATATGTTTGCCATCACTGCGCTATACCATACTGGCTCTCTTAATATAACATGCTCAGTGATTTTACCAGCCCTGTCCCTTGTAACAGCACAAAGTCCAGCCTAGAATATGGGGTTATCCCTAGATTTTAATGCTGAAATCTCTGGGCCTGGGATAGTCTGACCTGACAGCCTTATGGACTGCTGTCTCCTAGTATCTATTTCCTGAGACAACCAACTCATTCTGTCTAATGGCAGGGCCAGCCCTAGGCCTATCCAATAGAAAGCACTATATTTGCAGTCCCAGATACCAGGCATTGTTTTTAAAACATATATCTAGCTCCATTTAGTACAGTACTTGATTAAACAAGGAGATTTGGGTTTAGCATAAAAACTGCAATGGTTGGAGCTAGATACTACTAACCATAAACACAACTCAGCCATGCAACAAATTATGGAAGGAAAGAAACAACAAAGCTTGACCTATTCTTTATCCTCCACCGGAAAAAACCATGGTTGTAAGCATCATAGCCACACAGATCATGTGCTGCAAGACATGAGATCTGGCATGGAGGAATTTTTTTTTTTAATGTCCAACATGTGCGTGGTTTTTTTCCAACAGGTGTTTGTTTAAAATCTTGGCCCAGTTACTGAAAGCAACATTTTGATCTAGCCCAGTAATGATCCACATGAAAAATGAGTCTGAGGATAAGTGCTATATTAGATATGCCTCACAGTAAAGGTGAACACGCAGGGGTAACTGTGTTGGCTATTTAGCAAATTCAAACAAAAATCCACCCGTGATACCTTTATTGGCCAACCAAAATGTACAATATACTTGTTGCAAGCTTTCGAAGCTCCATAGGCTTCTACAGTAAATGTAAACAGTTCTTTTCAAAGTAATGTATCCATCATGTTTAAGAAAATATTCATATATCAATAGTTGCACAAATCTTGATATTCCCTCAGGATCTCAGCTGTCTACTGACCTAGAATGTGAATATTTGTATCTAAAATCTAAGAGTCTAATAAAAAAAATTAAATCATTATCCTTTGAAATGACTGTATTCCAGAGAACAGCTTCTAGAACTGAAATCCATTGCCTCCTCCAAATTCTCGTCTGTAAATTCTGATGCTAAATATGTTCTCTGAATCTATATGAAGGCATCACTAAATAGTTGATGCCCAACAACCATTTATTTCAATATCTGACAGATGATATGTGTGTTGTTTTTTTTAAATTGATTAACACTTGACTGTACTGTTTAGCATGTAAATAGCATTTGGTTATTGACATACAAAGGTTTTATTTGACATTTGATAAATGATATGCACTGGCATTTAGTATCTGACTATTGACAGCTGATGAGATTTCATGTTTAAGATTTGATAGGCAGTGACTGCCAAAATCAAAACAGTGAAGCCTATTTACATTAGTCTTCTTTGCTTTTAATATGTTTTATTTTAAAAAACCCTCATAGAAATAGTTTATAATATAATTGTTATAAACTATAGTTTATAATATAATTTACCATGCAGCAGGTGCATTGGGAGAAGGAGGTCCATTCAGCCAGCAATTGGCACATAGATGGATGACATTTCCGTCAAGTTTATGGCAGTCCAACCAGGAGAGGTTATAAGTAACTAAAGGCATGTCTACACAGGCCATTTGCATCAGTTTCCCCTTGTCCTCATGTCACCCTGTCCACAGGCCCAATTGGACTGCAGACTGTCTTCAAGTGAGAAAGCCAGT